TGGGGATCAAGAGTAAGCTACTTCCACATGCTCACACAATGAGTTTAAGATCTCAGCCCCAGTGGTTTTTCATTCTTCCACTAATTATTTTAAGAAATGCTGAGTCTCTGATGCTCTCAAACCATGTTGCGTGGAAATGCATGATGTCATTATCTCTGAATCAAAAAGCCCTTCAGAAGAATTTGACTCTAAAAGAGAAGTTTCAGTATACTGAAAGCAAATTACATATATGTTTATCTTGCTATGTTTATTTTACTACATTTGATAGTGTGTTATATGATTTTTAAAAAGTATGCCCAATTCAGAATAAAATGCTCTTTCAGAAAGAATTAAACTCTAAATGATGAAAAAAAAACAATTGTGCTATAGTTTGACTGGCAGTAGCTTTTTTCTTCTTAGGTGTGTATGATATAAGGCAAATCTTAAAATCAATGGTGTCTCAAAGTAGAATAAACAAAGCAGAACCATTTCATTCTTTTGCTCTCTCTGAAGTCTGAACTTGCATGTGTTCTGCTCTCCTTCCATAGAACACATTTGTCTCTCCTCTTTGCCTGGTTAACTCCCACCCAGCCGCTGGGTTTGGCTTAATTATCGCTTCTAAGCAGTGTTCCCTATCCCCTCACCCCCACCCTCAAACCATATGAGTGACTCCTGCTTTGTACTCCACAGCGCCCCATACTTCAGCTATCACAACAATTATCCTTTACTGTAACTGCCTGTTTAATTTTCTGTCTCCCCCACAGGCTGTAAACTCCTTAGAAACCAGGAACTTGTCTGTCTTGTTCACATCATGCCTGTCACAGTTGGCACTCAGGAAATATTCACTAGTCAATGAATACATTAAATGAATATGGGTCTCTATTGCACAGCATATGGAAAAACTTGTGTGATTTTTGAATGGTAACCCAATAAGAACTTTTTTTCTCACGGATGAGTAAACTGAGACCTAGACAGTAACAGATTAATTAGTGACAGAGTCCAAACTAAAATTTCTCAAGGTTTTAGGTAATAATGTTATGCCTGACATTTATTTAGCAATTACTAGGTAACTGCCACTGTTCTGACCTGGGTATGTGGACCATCTCAATTATCACAACTTTCTTAGGTGAATATTGTGAGTATCCCCATTTTATGAAAAGGAAAATTGAGGTTAAAAAAAAGATACTAGAATTTCCTAAAGTAATAGATGTAGTAAATTGTGCAACTGGGATGTAAACCCAGGGAAACTCCAGAATTTTCACCCTTAACCACATTGTGACAGATGCTGGTAAGTTAAGTCCAAATATTTAGCAATAGTAAATACTAGTAGTCACTAGCAAATCACTTCTTAAGAATGTGTTTTCAAGCTGATCCAAGACAAATAGCTTTATTTGTTGGATATTGATGCTAACAGAACCAGAAGTAAGACCAATACAGTTGAAACAATACCATAAGGTTAAGAGACCTGGGTTCTACACAATCCAGTCTTTGAGTAGGTACATAATCCTAGGTGAATCATTATACTTTCCTAGCCCTTCATTTCTTTACTAGTTTAAAAAAAAAAGAGGTCAGGTAATGCAAATGAACTCTTAGAATCCTTTGATAGTGTCTGTCACTTTATCTCAAAGCAATTAACAGGTACACCAAGTGGGGAGAAATCATCTACGTCAAATATTGAATTTGAGGATGTAACTTAAACTCCAGTGTTTGTTCTACAAAATTCAAATAACGTTTGGCAAGGTGAAGGGCTCTTGATCCTCCACCTGAAAGCTAGCCTTTCAAATCCCAGCCATCGACTTTTTTTCCTTTCCTTCTATTGACACTATTTGCCTTGGTGGGGAGAGGGAAGCCCAGACTTGTGTTGACAGAGTCTGACTGTTGGGGAAAAGTACATACCTGGAGGGTGAATGGTGTTTAACAAGAAATAAGGCATCAGTCTGCGCCTGACTCATTCCAAGCTTGGCCTCCCTCCGCCATTGCTTTGTTCCAGCACTAGATCAGAGGCTCATGTGGAAACTTGCTGAAGTCAAATATCACAAAACTCCAGCCCAGCTATGCTGGGGAGAAAAACAAGACTCTCGCCAGATGAGTGTTGGAGCCAAAGCTACTGAGAAGAGCTGGAGAATCAGACCAGGTCTCTTGGTAGTTATCAGCCCTAGCACTGAACCCTAACCATTCCTCATTCTTCAGGGCAGCTGAGATTATTCTTATTTATGCAAACCTTTTAGAGAGTGCTTTTTAATAGGCAGTGGTACACATTCTCTTTTCTGCACCTGGTAGGAGGTGAAAGGTTATAAGTTATTCCCAAGCTGTGCCTGAAAAGCTATATTCCTGTTCTAAAGTCATTAAATATTTTCAGGCTTCATGATTGTAGTCAAAGCTACACAAAGCCATTCACTCAAATTAAACTCTTAAAGGTTAAGTTCCCTTGCCTATAGAACAAAAAAATAAAATAAAGCCCACACTTGAAGATTCAATAAGCTAGCAAGTACATGTGGCACACTATGCTTAATAAGAGGGCACTCTTTCATGATTTCTTTCAAGAAGCTCACCTAAGGTCAACACCTTTTTTTTTACACCTTCTACAACCAACCAAATTTGGGGAGGAAGTTCTCATACAAAAAGATTTTCTGAAGATTGTCTTTCTAAGGCTTACAACAATTCTTCACATAATTAGAATTTTAAAAGTATTAATAGATAGATGGATATGAGAGAAACAGATAAATTATATTGCCTATGAAGTATACATTCATTCAACAAACATTTAAGAACACCAGACTTTGAATAAGGTAATAATTGCTTCTTTTGGGGGGCATATGACCACTGAGCCACATCCCTAGCCCTATTTTGTGTTTTATTTAGAGACAGGGCCTCACTGAGTTGCTTGGCACCATGCTTTTGCTAAGGCTGGCTTTGAACTTGAAATTCTCCTGCCTCAAACTCCCCGAGCTGCTGGAATTACAGGCATGTGCCACCGCTCCCAGTTTAATTGCTTCTTTCCAAAAGCACTTCTGGCTTGCATTTTTTTCACAAACATTCATTCATTTTTACTCAGTGAAGAGTCAAGAATTTGTATTTTCCTCTTATAGGAGGTAGTGACAATCAAAAAGAGAAACATGGTGGGTGTTATAAAACCACAGTCCTCAATATCAAATAAGCCTGAGTTTGAGGCCTAGGTCTAATACCAGTAGCATCTCCTTGAGAAAATTAAATTTTTGTATCCCATTCACCTTATCTGTGACATGGGAATAACATGCCAATCTAAATACACCAAACTAAGTAGTACCTAATAAGGTACTCATTATATATGCTGTCTCTAACATTCAGTGTAACTTTCTCAGTGAGTGATTATCAGGATCATTAGAATTTTTAATTATTTTTCAAGGTCATATAGCTGAAATAACAGAATGGGGATTAACCTTTTGCTTGCTGACTTCTAATATTTTCTGCTAACAGTTTTCAAACATTTCAAAGCACCAAAATCTCTCCTTAAAGAAGCAATCACATAATATGGCACATCAGCATGTAACAAAGGAGAACTGCCCTTATTAGAATTGGGAGAGGGGGACCTAAAAAGCCTTCTGTCCACTCTTCTTGGCCACAGATAAATGTGGCTCACATACCCCACTCCATTTACTACCAAGTCAGATGCTTGCAATTATCATTGCCTGCGATTCCCCAGGAACTAGAGCTCAACAAGTTAAGAGGACAGCTGGGCAACAGTGCTTCCATGTGCCCTGTTGTTGGTGCCATATGTTCCCTCTCCTGTTTGTCTTCTCTTGTTCCTTATTTCCCAGCAACCTATTGGGGCATTGACCAGCCACCTTCTCCTGATTCACAAACCCATTGACTTTATCAGTTCCAGACTCTTTTCTAGGACCTAGTTCACAGAGGGTCACCTGACCTCTCACCCACTGCTGCCCATAGACAAGGAAGTCTACCACTGCTTGCCCATGCCATGCAAAATGCTCCAGCCCCTTCTTTGTTCCCTCTTATCTTTCAAGAGAGAAAATTATGAATGCCATTGACAAAAATTCTAGATCATTTCTCATGTCACATTTTTTTCAGGGCTAGATCATTGTGGTTCAAAGGTCCAAACCCATCTGTGCCTTTATCTCCACCATATGGTTGGGAGTATACATAAGCCAACAGTATCATGTTTACACATATGTGCCTCAGTACAGAACTGAGCTGGTCAGAGGCTCAAGTTCAAGGTTTTAAATTTTAAAGCCCAACTGAATCTTTATTCTTGTCAGCACTTTTCTCAGAACTTTGTATTGAAGGTTATTGAGTGCTCACAGGTCTAATTAGATTCCCATTTATCTTCCATTCCCTAACTATTTCCATCCAAAGATCAATAAGAAAGAGAATTTACTGATGAAGTAGATGTCTGTGATCATTCCCTGGAGAACTAGGACCTGGAAGATAGGCCTATGCTCCTCCAGGTCCTGAGCTCAGAATTCTTTCCCTGCCTTTTCTCTATGAGATCCTACTGGCCCTCAAGGCTTGCCACAAATCCCTTCTCTACCTGAAGGTTTCCATGATCCCTGTTGGCATGAGTTGTCACTTCTGGAACACATAGCATTTACTTTTTCAATCAGTTGTGTCACTTATTTCATTCTGCCTCATGTTCCAAGAAGTTGTTTATAACAGATCAGACTTTCCCATGAGACTAGGAAAAACTCGAAAGCTAGGAGCCTAGTTTATTGGTTTCTGACTCCCCACTACCCGCTTCACTCAGCCAGCCTCTATCATCATGCTTTGGAAATCATGGTGCATAATGTGTGTATTGGTCAGCTTGAAGTGTTCAAAGGTATTAGAAATTCTAGGAACACTGGACATTGTCTGGGCCTTCTAAAGAATGAATGGAAAACACTTTGCCAAGAGCAGGAAGAAACTCATCAAAGCAGCATCATCTTTGGCCTGCCTGGGGCTGCACTTGTTTTCCTGTTTTTCTCTCATTTTTAATTACGATCAAGCTGCCCCGTGAGTTTCCTTTTTCTCCTAACGGAACACACTGTTAGTGAGCTTTGGGTGTTGGTCCAAATATTGATTCAGGAAGTGCTGCTCAGCAATTCTGAGCTTTGGTTCCAGGCATGCTGAGGGATTCCAACACCCTAAGCCAATATTGAGACTTCATTAAAAGTTCTTGCTTCTCCCAGAAGGCCTGGTGAGGCATAGGGGAGAAAGCACAAGGTGCAGAGACTAAAGATGCCACTCAAGTTTTAGACTTGCCACTTGCTTTTTATTTGGCTTTATGCAAGTTGCTTAACCTCTTTGAACCTCAGCTTATTCATCTCTAAACTAGCATCAGTAAGGTTTGAGTTCATGTGAAAAAGTAAGTCTGAAAATATTTTTTGAGTCTGAATTTTTGGAAAGTTAAGGTGCTATCTCATCAGGCAATTCTGTCTGCTAGAGAAACAAATGTGTTTCTTCCAGAAAGAGGAACTGCCATAGCCCAGTTTGGGGTAAAGGATAAGTAAATACTACTAAAGGACATCTGGAAAGAAAAGGTCAGTTATTGTGTCCTCTAGGAACTCACCACAAGCAAGTGATCAGTGACTGGGAAGTGTGTCGTTTTGTAAATAGGTTGCTGCTCTCTTTCCACTCTTCTCCAAGATTCATTGTCAGGTTTGCTTTAAGAATAGAAACTCCAAGCAAAAAGGAGTCCTGCCTCTGGGCACCTCTGCAGAGACTGCCATGTTGCTGTTGGCTCCCCTGCCAAGGATATTCTGTCAAGTTCAATTATGGGAGCCCCAAACAATGAGCCTGTGTTACCATCCAGCATTTCTTCACTTGCCACATGCAAGCAGGGCAGCAGAGCCAGCAGCCAGCAGCTGTGTTTACAACTTCCCAGCATCCTTATTAATTAACGAATTCGTTCTGGGCGTATTGCTCATTCTGAGTAAGCTTTTGAGGGCACGGGATGACTACAGGTCATGCCGACAGGACAGGCAGGCAGCATCTGAGCACTGTTCTTGATTGGGGGGAGTCCAGGGCATGTCCTGGGAATGGGAGAAAGGGTGGCTGAGAGAATATAAAGCAAGCGGTATGCACAAGGGAAAACTATTGCCTTCTCCCACTCTGTAAGCCCTAATCAAGTTTAAAGAGACTCTCAGTTTTAGTGTTCATGACTTTGAAGACATTGGCTCCCAAATTACAAATGTGCAACACATTTCAGATCAAATGCCAAAGGGGCCCTGAAGATGTGATTTAAAATTATAACTACTTCCTCTGAAATGTCACTTATTCCATGAATTGTAAAGTGACCCAATAAACCTGATCAGAATGATGTAAAGAAGTAGCTACCAGATCCCATGGCGACTCCATTGGAGAAAAGAATGCTCTCTTATTTTCTAATAAGTCCTACTTCATAATAGCCTCCATTCTCGGAAAGCCCTAAAATGGGAAACAGGGGAATTGATCAGTATTTATGGTCTTATTCTCTGGAAACAAAACTGTCTGTTTGTGTAATGACAAATGGATTTTATCCTCAAACCAGGCTGTTCTGTGTGACTGGAGTCCAGCAAAAATAATGTAAGGGAAGAGAAGCATTATCAATATATTCATGAAGTCTTTTAAAGTTGCCATTATTTTAAAAGTATTTGTTTTTTTGTGTGTGTGTTTGTTTTAATAAGACTATTCCTGTCTTCTGAGTGTAATTGTTCTATCAAGAGAAATAACCTTCTGCAATATGGAATGTTTACTAAGCACAATAGAACCCAAAGTTTTGCTTTCTACTTTGATTCTATCACCAACCAGCTGTGTAACCTTGACTAATCCTTTTCTCCTCTAGTCCTCACTTTTCTCATCTGCAAAAGGGTAATAAGGATAACTGGCCTGGTTTTGGGGATGTTGATTTCACAGGGATGATGGATGGGAATTTTTGACTTAAAATATAAAAGATGAAGATGATAATGAAAATTATATTCTAGGGTAGAGTTTTAAAGCTTCTGTTACTGCTTTCCTTCTTATAAGACTCCTTCTTGATAATACACCTGTGGAACTCTTTGTTTCAAAACATATTTTTTAAAAGAACGTTTAATTTTGTCCCACTCTGTTTGGTAGATGGCAGCCAGTGTTTGAGAGTTTCATGGAAGTCTGATTTACAAAAGACAGAAAAGGAATACCAACCTTTAAAAAATGTTATTTAAAATAAGAAAAAGTAAAGAAAATGTTAGCCTAATAAAGGAATATGAATGAGCATTTTATGAAGTAGAGCAAATACCAAATAATAATAATTCAACGTGACACCAGATTGAGTGTCTGGAAAGAAAACTCGGGATCCAGTTCACACTTAAAGAGCACAGACACCCCTGAGGGATTATATTGACAGATTCCTAGCATAACTTAAACTTGACATTTAAGTGAGTGAAGTCACCATCTTCCTATGGAGCCACAGAATTTTACTAAATGGTATTTTCTTTATATCTGACAAAGAACAAAATACACTATTAAAAACCATTTATGAAAGGCATTTTGTCAAGTTAAAGAAGCCAGTCTCAAAAGACTACCCACTGTGTGCTTCTATTTATACGACATTATAAAAAACCTCAGTGACTGAGAATACATGGTGGTCAATAGGGGTAAGGATGGAGGAAGATGTGTCTATAGAGGGAGAGCAGGAGAGAGGAGTTTTGTTTTGCTTTGCTTTGTTTGTTTGTATACTTGTTTGAGTTATTGAGCTGTTCTGCATCTTGATTGTGATGTGGCTCCCCACATCTATACACATGTTAAAAATTATGGAACTGTACACACAGAACTGTACTAATGTCTCAGGTTTGGGTTATTATAAAAATGGTCATTCAGGAGGTCTGAGATGGGGCCTGAATGTCTGCGTCTCTGTAAACTTGTCCTTGCTTCTATAGCTACAGAGAACACGGAAGGATCTGTAAGCTTTGCAGAATTTCATTCATTTAGAGCAATTATGGTAAATATGTGGCATCATGCCAACTGCCTCTCTCCTGCGACCATAGCAGAGATCACTGATTGTTCAAACATGAGTTCCTCCTGAGCCCCAAAATGAAATGCTTCAGAGGGCCACTGTTGCTTGGCAGAAATGGTTATGTGACATGAAAACGTGAGCACTGCTGTTAGGCTCTTCATCAGCATTACAAAGAAATGCACTTAGAAAAAACACAGGCCTTGGAGTCCTGCTCTGTGTGTCCTAGAAAAATGGAACATAATTAATAACACATATATCTTACCTTCCAAAGATAAGTAAACTCGTCTTTCTGATTAGGCTGAAAATGACTTGAAGGCAGGGACATATGTCTACTTCCATTAGTAACTCTCTTCTTGCCACTTTGAGCCTCAGTTTCTTCATCTATAGATAAACATAATTGTACTCTCTCATGAGGTTGTTGTGAGAATTAATAAGATAATAAATATGGCGCACTTAGAATAGTGTCCTGTATAGAGTAAGACTCAGTATTTGGTTACTGTAATCATTATTTCCCCAATAATGACCAACATGGTCCCACCCGTAGTGGATGTACAAAGCATACTGCTATAGGAAGCCAAGACACAGAGTGGAACAAGCACGGAATTGGGAACCAAAAAATGTAGGTCACAGAGTCATTCCAGTCCCTCTACCTCTGAGTACTTTCATTTCTTCTTAGGTATAAGAAAAAACTAAATAATTTTGTGGTTAATTTCAGCTGAGACATTCTTAGATACAGACACCATGACATAAAACTACTGTGAAGCATCCCAAAATTTAAAAAAAAAATCTGCATAGAATCCTGAATTGAGGATAGAAATCTATAAAGAATCCAGTTAAGAGCAAAAGAAAAAGGACATTTCCGACATCCAATGAAAGTGAGAATTGAGCTTTCAACCACCATTTGAGTTACTGGTTTTCTGCCACTGGAGGGCGAACTGTGCTTGGTTGTAAAATCTTCTAGGTTTTAACTCTTGCTCAGTTTGAGTCAGTTGCTTTGGAATCAGAGAATCAGAGAAACCATCTCCTTCATTTGTCAGGGTTGATAGCTGAAGAGGCAGAGTCTAGAAAGAGAAAAGTCTACTTACGATATTTCTGTTCCTCCCTAGTATTAACCCCCGTCAGAAGCTCATGCCACATTCTCTCTTCACTCATTTTGAGTCCATCTCTTCTCCTCACTCCTGGTTTCTTCAAGTTCCCTTGTCCTTTTCACAAACCTCCAGCAGAAAGTAAAGACTGGTTCTTTTGAATGTGACCCTAGCATGCTAAATGGGCTTAGCTCATGGGCAGCCAACACCCATTTAGGGGACTCAGGTAGATTTGTTGAATTCTTGGTCTGGGATGTAGATGGTGCAAAAGATATAAGAAATGGTGTTTTCCAGTCAGACAGTTTTCAGCAAAACCCTAGTTGTCCTTAACTTGGAGAAAAGGGAGTGATCAGTGGAAATGAACCATCCTCTCTTCCTTTAAAGGGCTCCCAAACTAATTAGTATAACAAATATAGAATGAATGGGAGGGGATTCAGAGAATGAAACACTTTGAAGAAAAATATAGACTCATTCTCTCTTGCTACCTGTAATCAATTGCCTGAAGTTCTATTGTTTAACTAGGAAGGTTTTTCACAACATAGAAAGAATGAGTTTTGTAATCAATTATTCATATCTGCTATGAGCACACAATGGAGTAGGATATGTATATCTTTACCAACCCCAATTTCCACTCCACACCCTACATGTTTCTTTTTTTTTTCCATTTGGGAAAGCCAAGGCAGACATAAGGAAAGGAACCTAGTCAAGATCACCCACCTGAGAGATAAGAGGTGAGGGTTTTTTTGCACTTGTTTTACTTGTTTTTAGATGCTATAAAAATGGAATCATGCTGTTTGTACTCTTCTGAAATTTTATTTTTCACTAAAATTTTATTTCAAAACTTTTCAAAGTTTATTTACTTTATTACTATGCAGTAATCCATTGTGTGAATACACCACAATTTACGTATCCATTCTAGTGTTGGTAAATATATTTTAATCATTTCCCATTTTTAATTAAGAATAATTTTGCAACGAATTTTAATGTTTCAGTAAATACTAGAGCAGTGGTTCTCAACCCAGGGCAATTTTCCCACTTGGGAAACTTTTGACAATATCCAGACATGATTTGGGTCATCATCCTTAGGGCGCCACTGGAGAAGGGGAGCAAAGGGCTGTTACTGGCAAGGGGCTAGCAGGCAGTGTGCTGCCAGTCTACAATACACAGGAAGACCCTACATAGGCCAGAATTATCCAGCCAAACCGTCAAGAGTGCTGAGGTTATGAAACCATGCTCAAGAGCATAATCAGGTGAAATTGCTGAGTTATAAGCACATCCAGTTTCAAATTTATAAGATGGAGTCAAATTGCCAAGTTGATTGTACCAATTTCCACACTGCTCAGCATTTTGTCTCGTTTTTACATATTTTATCCACTTTTTAAATATCTTACCGGCTAATCCAACTGGAACAAAATGGGTAGACTATACTATTGACTACCAATGATACTGAACTACTGTCATATGAATGTTGGCCATCTGTGTTTCCTCTTTTGTGAATTGCCTGTTCATGTCATTCCCTTATTTTTTTTAACTCTTCACATCTGTAATTCCGTTAGTTTGTTGATGTAGTTCATATAAATTTTAGGGGTTACTTTTCTACTTTGTATATTAATCACAATTTCTTGTGTCATAAATATATTCTCCCTGATATTACTCTTATCTTTTTGAGGGTACCTTTTGAAGAAGAGATTGTTAATTTTAATAGTAATGTGATTCAATTTATCTCTTCATTTTAAGTACTTTGTGACTCTTGTTTAATAAACCCCTTCAGACCTTGAAATTACATGGATCTTCTTCCATATTTTATTCTTAAAGTTTTAAGGTTTTTGCCTTTCACGTTTAATGCTACCTGGAATTGATATAAACTATGGCCCGAGGTAGAATGGAATCTTTCAAAGCTGTCCTGAAACAACTTCTCAAGGCCAATTGAAAGCTCTTTCCCCTAGGACAGATAAGCCATGGGCTTTACTCAAGGACATCAGGGTAAAGAGAATCTGTGATCTCCTCTGCTGGCTCTGTCAGAGGGTTCACTAAATTGCAGATTGTAAGAAATGAAAACACTGACCCCAGATCATCTCTCCAACCTTCTATAACCACGTTAGTGCCTTGGCCCCTCTCTAGACCCTGCCAACTCAGGACCTCTCTCTCCAGTCTAGAAAATGAGCCCACAGGAAAGTACTAGAAACTTACCACTCCCAACCCAACAGCTCCCACTTTCTTAAAGGACTCCAGACAGAGAAGAAAGAATCATTTGTTAGTGGTAAAACTCCAGGCATGGATAAGGGGAGTTGAGAAGGACTGCCCAGACGTACTTCAGAAAGAACAGGAAGCAGCTGCCTATATGTAAGAAGGGAGGCCCAGCTCACTATAGGTCCTGTGGCTGTAAAGGAGAATGTGACAGCTCAGCCTGGTTCCATTCCACTGTCCCCTGTGGCTCCCGCAGCCCAGTTTTCAATAGCTGGCATGGTAGCCAGAACCAGTGGTGAATATAAGATCAATGGTGTGCTTTGCTGGTAGCACAGGCTCTAAGGAGCCAGTTGTATGCATCCCTTCCCTACTTCACAGCTTGAAATCAGCCATCATTCTATCATTTGCAGCACAGAATGGGCAAACATCACAAATGCAGCCTTATCCCTCCTCCCAGAGCCTGCTGTTAAACATTTACCAGCACACCACTGAAAACCCTCTAATCCTACCTATCCAGCACCTCCAATTGCCATGTTTGCTCAGATAATCTCTGTTCATGGGACTACCTCAAGTCCAAATGTGGTTTGTGTCTCCTTATTTAGCCTTAGATCCTTCAAGGCACAAACTGAAGTTATTTTCCCCCCTTGAATAGGTAGAATATAGCTCCCAAGCCTTATGTTTTCTTCTACTTACATAGAAGGAGTGGCCTTTCCATTGAATTCTGCCCTGGACCTTGCCTCCTTTATCTCTGGGACACCAAGACTAGTGTACCTAGGAGCTTGAAATAATTAACTCTGAAGAGGAAGTGATTATCTGAGGGGCTGTTATCCTCCTCCCAGAATAAATCTGAACTGTATTATAATAGGTGATATATGATATGTTTTTGCTTTTTCTTTTTTTTTTTTTTTGGTTGGTTGGTTGTTTTGTTCATGCTATGTTTTATGGTTGTTTGCTTATTTTTAAGGTAATTTATTCAAACATCTGTATTTTGGTGAAAAGAACATCTGAGACAGATGTGATTCTCATCCTTAACCACTAACTCATTCTGCAGTCTTGAAACCCCTTTCTGTCTGTCTCTCAATTTCCTTAATTATCAAGTGAGAAGTTAGTTTAAACCAATGGTTTTGCCCTGATTTTGGACAGTAAAACCCTTTTATAGAATGCCAACTTGTGCCCAATTCCAACAATTGAAAGAGAAAAATGGATAATGCTAGAGCTAAAGGAAAAGCTGAGCTAAGGGTTTGAAAAGGAAATCAAAAAAGTTTACTGAAAACACTGGGAATGTAACAAGATGTTTAAAAAATGTATTTTCCAGAATTCTTTCTAGCAATACAGCACGTTATTGAAAGGAACAGTATTCGTAATTATAAGGGAAGGAGGTGAGCTCTGGATTTCTCCAGTACACATTAACAGCCAACATTGCTAAACTACTTTCTAAGTTTGCATGAGGCCTATGACATAGAGTTTTCTTTGACTAAACCAGTTTGCAAGTGTGAGGCCAGAGCAGAATCACTCATGAAAACAGAGGAAAGGCTAAACATCGTGTCTAGGGCTTTCTTCCCCAAAGACAAGGTCCTCTCTCATCTCTGAATGATGAATGAAAATGTAAAAATATTTTATTTTTTCAAGAGATGTAACATTATGAGCCTATCTAAGATGTTCCAGACCTTGATCTGGTTGAATGGAGGCCATAAAGGTAGGTACTTTACCTCTTCAGTTCTCTGCTTCCCTGACCACCCTTGATATACTTCTTCTGATCCTTAGGGCTTCACACTACCCAGGTTGAAAAATACCAAGTTTCCCCAGATTCTCTATTGCAACTTCTTCTTAGCCTAAAACACCATAGTTTCTTTCTTGCCTGAACCACTATTGTAATGGCTTTGTAATGCATCTACCTGTTCAATCTTTGTGCCTTTCAGTCTATTCTCCACATTCTCCTCAGTCTGTCTCTTTGAATCTTGATCACAATATTTTTTTTTATTTAAACCCTCCAAGGGCTTCTTATTACGCTTGAAACAAAATCCAAGGCCCTTATTATCAGTCCCCAACCCTCTAATTGATCTACCCTTTCCTATTTCTTCTAACAAATTATCTACCATTCTCTTCCCCTCTGTAAGTTCAACCACAAGGACTTTCTTTCCCTTTCTTAAACTTTCTGTGGTCTTTGTGTTGCAGTTTCCTGAGCCAGGTACATTACCCCAGATCTGGATGTGGCTGACTCCCTCGTATCTCAGTATAAAGGTCTTCAATCCCCACGCCCACAAGGCATTCTCTATCAAGCACTCTGTTTTATTTTCTCCCCATTCCTAATCACTAACTGAAGTTATATTATTAATTGCCATTCACTTGTTTCTTGTCTGCATTTTCCTCTAAGAATTAAGTGTTATAAGGTCAGAGACCCTGTCTGTTTTGTTCTAATCTGTGTCTCCAGCATCTAGTACAATGCTTGGCACATGATAGATGCTCAATAAATATTTGTTGAGCAAATGAATGAATTTAATGTTGTTGATATAGTATCTTGCTGTGAATGGAGGCACCAGAGCTCAATCATGATTATCAGGGATTTTCATATTTCTTATTGCTGTTATCCTCCCACTGAGAGGGTTCTTCTTGGTATTTATATTTCTATCCCCTGAAAGAAATGTTAATGGCACCCTAGACTGACTTTAAAAATTCAGAGAAACTCAATTTACCTTACACTGCAAATAAAACTCATTTGCCTGTTTTTTTTTCCCCTTCCTTTTTAGGACACCAAAAGGATCTGAGATCTAATCAAAGACAATGATTTATTCTCCATAAATGAAGCTCCTCTGCTCAGAGAGCTCCAACCTGTATTCTTTTCTCCACAACATATTCTCCCACTTCAGGGCTGCAAGCTTCTCTCTGTGTGACCTGTGCTGTCTTCTCCTTCTACTTCTCAAACTATGCATATGTGTCCCTAGCATTCTGCAGCAATTGCCAGAAATCTTTTAATCTTCTTTGGATATCAACTCCTGTTCTATTTTAGTCCTCAGCTTCCCCCCACCCCGATTTCAGAAGAAGCCTAAATTGAGCAAAGCAGGTTTGGTTTGTGTATTTTCAAGTTCACCTAAAAGGAAATCTTGGTGCAAATCAGATTAGAAGATGATAATCTTCTTTCCTCACTCTAAAAGAAAACCCCAGTGCCTGGTTGTGACTCCAAGAGCAAGATCTGGCTTTTAAGCCTAATACAACCTTTAGTCCCCTGAAGATCTCTTTGTTGATCAGCTTTTAAAACACATTGTTAAAATGGAATGAATCTAACCTAACATTCCGATTTACATATACGAATATGCCACAGTGAATTTCACCATCATGTGTATCCACAGATGCTAATTTAAAAAAAAAATTTAAAAACTGGAAGTAAATAGCAGAAAGATCAGTAGATGGAAGGGAACAGTGGATGGGAGGAAAGGAAGAGAAGGAGAAGTACTGGGAATTGTATTAGAACAAATTATATTCCATACTTTTGTAATTATGTCAAAATGAATTCTATTGTCATGTATAACTAAAAAGAAATGAAAAAAATATTTTAAAAAAACACAAATAAATAAGAAAGAAAGTGCCATAAAACTTTGCTGTGACTATAAGGACAATATACTCTGCCCAATGCACATTGTCCTTGATTATGCAAAAAAAGTTTCCTGAATTTTTTCTCTTCCTCAATTATGAAGCACTTTGGTAAGAACATTGTGTTCTGTGTAAAAGGGCCATTAGGGGATCTTGGCAGTCCCAACATTGCCCCAAGTCTCTCCCCACTACACTAATAACCTTGATAGGTTGGAAAGTGCTTTGAAACAGACCTTAACCTGGGTGTGGTGGCTCATACCTATAATCCCAGCAGCTCTGGAGGCTGAAGCAGGAGGATCATGAGTTCAAAGCCAGCCTCAGCAACTTAACAAGGCCCTAAGCAACTTGGCAAGAGACCCATCTTAAAATAAAATACAAAGTGGGCTGGAGATGTGGCACAGTGGTTAAGTGTCCCTGGATTTGATCCCTGGTACCAAAACAAAAGCAAAACAAAAAACAAAGAATAAAACCCAGCCTCCTACACTAAAAACCTACATTACACCCTTAATATTTGCCTAAATATGCCCTAAAACTTTTGCAATTCCTTAACTTTGAGACTATCCATGGCAGAGAAGTGTATATTTAACCTTGCAATGCAATCCTCGTCTTACTTCATCTCCAAAGTTGTAATGGACCACTCCTTTCTCTTTGAAATATTTTCCCTTTGGTTTCCATGTTGGTGGCTTTCACTTAGTTTGTTTTAATCGGCTCCACCTCATCCCCCATACTGATAAATATTGGAATCTTCAAAGCATGACGCTGAGCATTTTTTCTTCTCACTGGACATTTTCAACCTGCAAAACCCAAAGGTACTTCAAAGACCATCCATTTGCCAATGACTCTAATAATTATATCTCTATTCCAGATAGTTCATTTGATCTTTTTTTTTAATTTGTATTTGTTTATTTATTTTAAGTTATACAAGACAGTAGAATGTATTTTGACATATCATACATATAATGAAGAATAACTTCCCATTTTGGGGGTTGTATATGATGCTGAGCTACACTGATCATGTATTCATATAAGAACGTAAGAAAGTTATGGTTGATTCATCCTATTCTTTCCTATTCCTATCTCCCCTCCCTTCCCTTCACTCCCTTTGTCTAATCCGGTGAACTTCTCTTCTTTCCTCCCCCCACCCCCACTTATTGTGAGTTAACATTCACATATCAGAAAGAACACTCAGCCTTTGATTTGGGGGGATTACCTTATTTCACTTAGCATGATAGTTTCCAGTTCCAGCCATTTGCTAACCATAATTTTATTCTTCTGAATAAATAATGACTTGAGTAATATTCCTTTGTGTATATGTACCACATTTTCTTTATCCATTCATCTGTTGAAGAGCACCTAGGTTGGTTCCATAGTTTAGCTATTGTGAATTAAGCTGCTATAAAAGTTGATATGGCCATGTCACTATAGTATGCTGATTTTAAGTCCTTTGAGTATATGCTGAGAAGTGGGGTTAACTGGGTGAAATGGTGCTCATTCCAAGTTTTCCGAGAAATCTCCATACTGCTTTTTAGAGTGGTTGCACCATTTTGCAGTCCCACCAGCAACGTATGAGTGTATCTTTTCCCCTACATCCTTGCCAACATTTATTGCTATTTATATTCTTCACAATTGCCATTCTGACTGGAGTGAGATGAAATCTCAGTGTAGTTTTAATTTTCATTTCTCTAATTGCTAGAGATATTGAACATTTTTTCATATATTTGTTGATCAATTGTATTTCCTCTGTGAAATTCAGCTCCCTAGCACATTATTGATGAGGTTATTTTGTTGTTGTTGTTGTTGTTATTGTTGTTTGTTTGTTTGTTTGTTTCTTGGTGTTAAGTTTTTTTGAGTTCTTTATATATCCTGAGATTAATGTTCTATCTGACATGCAGGTGGCAAACATTTTCTCCAATTCTGTGGGCTACCTCTTCATGTTTTTGATTACTTCCTTTTCTGTGAAGAAGCTTTTTGGTTTGATACCATCCCATTTATTGATTATTGATTTTACTTCTTGTTCTTCATTTTAGAAATCCTCATTGGCTTGTACACACAGTTCAATTCCATTTAGCCAAAGTACCTTATCCATATAGGTATGTGTATTTGTATATGCAGTTTTGTGCCATGGGCAAGCTATTTAAATTCATGACCCTGAGTTTTCTCATCTG